GATGAAATTATTTTTAAGTTTATCCAATTTTACTTCTTCAATTCATTCTTCACTACTCAACCAATATCATAATCTTGACAAGTTTACTGTGCATTTATTTGTAGAATGGGAAGGGTAAAGCTGAAGATACAGAGACTCGAAAGCCTCAGTAGCCGGCAGGTTACTTACGGCAAAAGACGAGCTGGGATCTTGAAAAAAGCCCAAGAGATTTCGGTTTTGTGTGACATTGATATTATCCTCATTATGTTTTCTCCTACTGGCAAACCTTCGATTTTTCGCGGTCAACGAAGGTAAATTTTATCAAATACATATAGAAGTTTGNAAAAAAAAAAAAATAGTTGCATATTGATTGTGATCAAGTGATGACTTTACAAAAAAATGATTTTGAGTGAAAAAATTGATTTTTTAGGTGAGAAAATGAAGATTTTAGTAAAATTCTCATTTTTGGTTCATTATTGGGTCATTTTGATTCGGTTTTATGTGTCCGATAATTCGTAAACTTCGTGTAATTTGTTCTCAGCAATATTGATGAAATGATTGCGAAATACGCTCAGCTTACACCAAAAGAACGCGCGAAAAGAAGGTTGGAGAGTCTTGAGGTACATTTTTCACGTTTTAAACGAACTATTTTCCTTGTAAATTCTGTTCGAATTCACGCTTGTCTTGAAGAAAATGGAAGATGAAGTTGATGATCAATTTGTGTAAATGAAAACGATTAGACTTTGAAGAGGAACTTCAAGAAGCTCGACCAAGATGTGGATATCGAAGAGTTTCTTGATGAAAGGTATTACTATATCTATACTAGCCTTATTATTTTTCTTCTTTTTATATATTGCCTTGTTTAACTTGTGTGAATTTTTAACTTCATTTTTTTTTTGCAGTTCTCCATCGATTGAGGTACGTCTTGAAAACCGAGCGAGCATTTAACGTAATCTTAACCGATCACTTTCTAAGATTCTCGTGGTGTTTTATTTATTTAATTTTATTTATTTTTTTTATGGACAGGAAATGCACAACCGAGTACGAATGCTGAAAAACCAAATTGGCGAAGTACACGAAAGAGTCAAGTATATGGCCACATACAACTTTTTCCAGTCGATAAAATTCATAATAATCCATTAAGTTTTCTTACAAAACAAACGGTTTTCCTTTTCGTTTTCAGCTGGTGGATTAATCCAGACAAAATCGAAGATATCGAGCATCTTAATCAGATGGAAAACTCTCTTAGCGAGACACTTAACAGGACTCGCATGCTTAAGGTACTCTGTTTTTCGGCTCGTATATAGAAAGAAAACTTTAAATTAAATCTAAATTTCATTTTTCATTTCAGCAGGATCGGTGTTTGAAGGACTCGCTCGGCCCATACGACTGCACAAGCCAGGTAGTAACTAACAAATGATCAAACTTTAAATTAAATCTAAATTTCATTTCGAGTCTTGTTAATTTTTCACGTGCGTGTATTTGTATAAGGTGTGTGGAGATTTTGGAACAGTTTACAAGCCAGTTATTACTGAGTTCCAAAACGAACTGCATTTTCCATTACCGATCACAAATAGTGATCGGCATATTATACTCCCGAACGAATCACATTTCTTGGCTAATCGGTGAGTTCGTCAATTTTTTTTTTTTCTCGATTATGTTAGAGTTTTTGTTTCGTGTTTTCTTGATTTTGAGTCTTCTCGGGTTTAAAATGTAACGTCGTGTTTTTTCTCCCTTTTTTTTTATCTGATTTGTTTTGTGTTTCTTGATTTTAAGTCTTCTTGGGTTAAAATGTAACATCGTAACATCATGTTTTTCTCCGTTTTTTTTATCTGATTTGTTTCGTGTTTCTTGATTTTGAGTCTTCTCCGGTTAAAATGTAACGACGTGTTTTTTCTCCTTTTTTTTTTTCTTTCTCCCGAAAAATTCAGAGACGTGGACTGCTCGAAAGAGGTGCATTTCTCAACCGGCCAAAGTTACTTTAAAGAGGTAAAAGAACACGATTTCGAAAGCCAAAGACAAGAAGGAATTACTGTCGATGATTATACGTGTTCGGCTCAGTTAAGACTTCCATTAGGAGAACAATTTACTTACCACTCGTTCGGAAATTTGAGCTTCCCTGACCTGACGGAGCCCGTAAAGGAGGAGAATTTCCAGCCGAGCCTTATCGACTATCAGTTGACTGGAAGCTTTGACCTCTCGAGACCGGTTTACAACAATTTCCCGAATAATTTGGTTCCAACATCCGGTTCTTGCGCGATTTCTATGCTAAACGAGCACGCTTATCCACAGGTGAGTTTTTTTTTTTTTTTTTTTTTCTTAATGTTTACACTCAAAAATGGTAAAATTATTCTTCAAAATCGTCTATCCGCATTCTATATACGAACACCGTTATACTTATGATTTTCGAACAGACTAACTGTTAGGCTGCCTCACAACAGATTTTGTGCTCGTTTTGTAGTTAATATATCAAAATCTCATTTGATGCTATGTCATATTGTGCAAATAACATTATTATTATTATTTATTTTATTTTATTTTTTTGTGCAGCCACCAAATTAGTTTATCTGATCAATTTGCTGGAGACGTGCCATGGCTGGTTTTTTCATTAATCCCCTCAAGACTATAAGTTGTGCATGTAATATCCAGACATGTTTTAGTTTTTTGTTTCTCAATTTCCTTTTACTCACAGGTTTTTTAAGAAAAATGACTTTACTTGTCTGCCCAAGCCATAGTGAGAAAATGAATAGGAAAAATATTTTATGTAAAAAAACAAAGGAAAAAATTAGTGTAGCCCAAAAAAGGAGAAAAAACAGAAATCCATATTGTATTACTCTTTGATGAAAGATACCTTTTTTTTACCCAACCCAAGCATTGTTTCTTGGGAAAATCAAATTTTTACAGCATTTGTAGTTTTTAGCAGTGTTATTTATCCAAGTCTTGATTTTTAAATTACTTTATTAATTTTATGAAGTGTATTCATTGAAGTTTGTAGCATTCGCTTGAATTGGTTATCAAACACACAGTAGGTATGTTAAGTATAAAGTTTGATTATTATTATTATTATTATTATTATTATTATTATTATTATTATTATATTATTATTATTATTATTATTATTATTATTTCCAATACCTACCACAACCTCTCATTAAATTTATTTCAATCAAATTCATCAACCATGAGTCTTATGTGGACCATATTCCATAGATAGATAGTTTCGTTTAGAACTATTAAACAGAACAAGTAACTTATGAATTAAACAAAACAAGTAATTTATTTATGAGGTTAGCTCGAGTTTGATAACAAGCTAAACTAGAATTCGTCAAGTTAACTTCAAAATAATTTTTTTATAAATCAACTTTTTTAACTCATGTTCACCTCGTTAAAATTCGACCTCCACTCCACAAGTTAATATTGATAATCGAGACAAACTCGTTTAGTTTTAAGAACCAACTATTATTTCTTTTTATTTTTTGGTTTGATTTATATTAGAATGGGGTAAGAGGGTGCGGTCCTACCAGATAAAGCGCACCATAAGAGCATCCACAATGGATTGAGTCTCTTAATAAAATATCATATGCCACATAGTAAATAGATCTAGTCTATAAAAAAATGTCTCCCAATGCAATTAAAAGTGGACATAGTCTAGCTTATGTGACAATAAAAAAAAAAAGACGAAGTCCACACTTGGGTCTATTTTGGACCCAAGTACAAACCGAAACACTCATCATTTACTCCTACTTTAATTTTTCTTTTAATAAAGAAAACATATTAGAGTATTTTTATTGGGTGGCATGTATGCTAGACCTAGTGTTTATTTTTACATTGAATAGTTTTTGAGTTTTTTTACTTGGGTTTGTCCATGTCATTTAGGGCTTAAGTCCATTTATATGACACATATGTAAAATTAGACCCAATACATTGTTGGTGCTCTAAGAGGGTGAGTCTATGTGCATCATAGTGAGGTTCTATCCGAAAATCAATTGGTTATGGAAGAGTAGCCCACTAGGCATATATACTAGGCTCATTTTTCCTATAGAATCAATGTGTGACAACTCACAAGTGATACTTCTTAAGCTCAAGCCCACATAGCAGGTCGAGTAGAGAGAGTCATCGCAGGTCCTAGGATAAACCCGCTCTGATACCATATTAGAATGGAGGAAGAGGGTGCGGTCCCACTAGACGAAACGCACTATAAAAGGGTGAACCTAGGTGCACCATAGTGAGGTTCCATCCCAAAATCAACTGGTGATGGGAGGAGTAACCCATTAGGCTTATATACTAAGCTCATTTTTAATGTGGACAACTCACAAGTGATATTCCAATATTTTACTGA